CGCAGGGGGAGGGATCCGCGCAGCGCAGCTCCTCCGCCCCGCTCCTCCCGCTCCCGCTCCCGCTCCGCCCCGCTCGCAGCGCTCCTCTCGCCCCGCTCCTCGCTCCTCGCTCCTCTCGCCCGGCCCGCCAGGGAGCGAGCCCGGGGGGTTCCGGCCGGCTACAGGGGAGGGAGCCAGAGGGAGGCGCAGGCACGACAGACAGACAGACAGGGCTGGAAACAGGCCGACACCAGCCAGACAGACGGACAGACAGGGCTAAGGGATGGGCAGATACAGGTCACAGACAGACAGACAGGGCTGGAAACAGGCCGACACCAGCCAGACAGACGGACAGACAGGGCTAAGGGATGGGCAGATACAGGTCACAGACAGACAGACAGGGCTGGAAACAGGCCGACACCAGCCAGACAGACGGACAGACAGGGCTAAGGGATGGGCAGATACAGGTCACAGACAGACAGACAGGGCTGGAAACAGGCCGACACCAGCCAGACAGACGGACAGACAGGGCTAAGGGATGGGCAGATACAGGTCACAGACAGACAGACAGGGCTGGAAACAGGCCGACACCAGCCAGACAGACGGACAGACAGGGCTAAGGGATGGGCAGATACAGGTCACAGACAGACAGACAGGGCTGGAAACAGGCCGACACCAGCCAGACAGACGGACAGACAGGGCTAAGGGATGGGCAGATACAGGTCACAGACAGACAGACAGGGCTGGAAACAGGCCGACACCAGCCAGACAGACGGACAGAACTGTGAGAGGCGGGGAAACGGGGGGCAGAGGGACAGAGAGATAGTCAGACATGACACAGACAGACGGACAGACAGGGCTAAGGGATGGGCAGATACAGGTCACAGACAGACAGACAGGACCAGGAGGGCTGGGGAACCGTGCAAGGGAGACATACCCAAATGTGACACAGAAGGCAGACAGAGAGATCGCCAGACATGAGACAGACAGACAAGGCAGAGGTTCAGACCAGACGGAGGGACGTGACACACGTTAGACAAAATAATCCAGCCAGAGCTTGGGACACAGCCTAGACCCGGGCTACTCAACATGTCACCTGCGGGCCGCCCGTGTGTTTGCGACCCACGGGGCTCAACATGTCTGGGAGCCGAAACAAAAAGGCGTCAATATAATGGTCATCTGTTGAGATGCGGTTTAGTAGTTAAATTCCTGGACTGTCATTGCTCGTTAAAGTATTGTCATGTGGGTGGAAATCGGGGAAATGTTGCATTGTATTAATATCAAATGGGGCCTGTGTGTGGTGTAGTCTTGCCTTCATTTTTGTATTCATGTCCATCACCGTGAAAGAAGCTATTTGCATTTATATCCAATCACACCTAAGTTGTGCCCCTCGGCATGTGCTGTGAGTATCACTGTGGCCCCCGGAGCTTCCAAAGTTGATTAGCCCTAGTGTAGACGGATGGATGGACAGACAGAGCAAGGATAAACACACAGCCCTAGAGAGACACAGGATAGACAGTCACAACACAGGCAAAGGGACAGACATAGCCAGACACTGAGCCACAATACAGACAGATGCACAGACACAACCTCGGCAGAGGGAAGGGCACAAGGCAGACAGACAGACACAACCCAGACAGATGGAGTGTTGGACTATTACAAGCAGGGAAAAGTCCAGAAAGGCCAATCTGTGACTCACCCCTGCACCTGTTGTGGTTTCACACGGATTCACACCCCCCTTCCTGTGTGCCGCATGCGCACCTGAACTCTGCACGCTCATGCCACCAGCCACCCTGGCTTTCTGCTCCAGTTACCCAGCAGGGTTTCCGTGGCTCCCAGCCCCTTCCGCTCTGAGTAGGCCTGCATCCATCCTCTGGGCAGGGAGAAGGGCGGCCGATTCTGGGTTGGATCTCCGGGTGGCATTCTTGGATTCCATGCATCTCTCTCTGCCTCGGTGTCCCAGTCTGTACAATGGAGATAATCACACCAACCGCCTTTAGAAACAGGCTTGTTGGAACTCAGCTTTGATTTTTATATTGGAAAATATCCGTGTTTCTCTTCTTTCCAATTCTTCTTAGTTACACTTCCACAGTTGTGCAAAATTATGGGGCTTACACAGTCCCCTGCCCCCATTTTTATCTATTTAAAATGTCACCGTTGCAGACAATTATAGGGGAAGCATGAAACGATAATTATTTATGACAGCGGACGTTTGACTGAAAGCATTAAAGCTTTATAAACCATTAAAACAAACTGTCGACCTCGTATGTCAAAATCTGCAAAATAAAGGTCTTGAAAGCAAAGTCTAATAAGCCCTAAACCAGAATTTTCTCACTTTGCCTAACTCCACGTGTCCATTATTACTAATAGATATATTTTTTTCGTCGTTTTGTGCATGTGCAGTGAACATGGCATTTACCAATATTCACCTATATAACATCCAGTGCATGGAACATTTTTATTTTACTTTGGGTTTGAAACTTTTGATTTGATTTGATTGTGATTAAATTGCAACAGAAAAATGTAAAGTCAAAATGGAAATGAAATGATTTTATCTCAATGAAGCACTTTTGACTGAATCAGAAAATGTTAGAACTGGAAGGGACCTCGAGAGGTCAAGTCCAGCCCCCTGCCCCCACGGCAGGACCCAGCACCGTCTAGATCATCCCTGACAGGTGTCTGTCCAACCTGCTCCTACATATCTCCAGTGACGGAGATTCCACAACCCCCCAGGCAATTTAGTCCAGTGTTTGACCCCCCTGACAGGCAGGAAGTTTTTCCAAATGTCCAACCTAAACCTCCCTTGCTGCAGTTTAAGCCCATTGCTGCTTGTCCTGTCCTCAGAGGCCAGGATGAACAAGTTTTCTTCTTTCTCCCTGTGGCACCCTTTTAGATACCTGGAGATCGCTGTCATGTCCCCTCTCAGTCTTCTCTTTTCCAAACTAAACAAGCCCAAATCTTTCAGCCTTCCCTCACAGCTCATGTTCTCTAGACCTTAATCATTCTTGTTGCTCTTCTCTGGACCTTCTCCAATTTCTCTACATCTTCCTTGAAATGCGGTGCCCAGAACTGGACACAATACTCCAACTGAGGCCTAACCAGCGCAGAGTAGAGCGGAAGGATGACTTCTCGTGTCTGACTCACAACACTCCTGTTCATGCAGCCCAGAGTCATGTTTGCTTTTTTTTACAGGTGTCCCACTGTTGGCTCATATTTAGCTTGTCGCCCCCTCTGAGCCCTAGATCTGTTTCTGCCGTGCTCCTTCCTAGACAGTCGCTTCCCATTCTGTGTGTGTGAAACTGATTGGTCCTTCCTAAGTGGAGCACTTTGCATTTGTCCTTATCGTAGAATCATAGAATACTAGGACTGGAAGGGACCTCGAGAGGTCGTTGAGTCCAGTCCCCTGCCCTCACGGCAGGACCAAATACTGTCTAGACCATCCCCGATAGACATTTATCGAACCTGCTCTGAAATATCTCCAGAGATGGGGATTCCACAACCTCCCTGGGCAATTTATTCCAGTGTTTGACCACCCGACAGTTAGGAACTTTTTCCTAATGTCCAACCTAAACCTCCCTTGCTGCAGTTTAAGCCCATTGCTTCTTGTCCTGTCCTCAGAGGCCAAGGAGAACAATTGTTCTCCCTCCTCCTTATGACACTTCATCCTGTTGACCTCCGACCATTTCTCCAGTTTGTCCAGATCAGTTTGAATTCTGACCCTGCCCTCCAGCGCACTCGCAACCCCTCCCAGCTTGGGATCATCTGCAAACTTACTACGCGTCCTCTCTGTGCCAGTATCTAAATGGTGGATGAAGATATTGAACAGAGCCGGTCCCGAAACAGACCCCAGCAGAACCCCACTTGTTCCGCCCTTCCAGCAGGATTGTGAACCGTTAATAACTCCTCTCGGAGAATCATAGGTGGGAATGGTGTCCCTGACCTCTGTTTGTCTGCGAATGGGTGACAGGAAGGGATCACGTGAGGCTTCCCTGTTCTGTTCTCTCCCTCTGGGGCACCTGGCATCGGCCACTGTGGGCAGACAGGACCCTGGCTGGATGGACCTTAGTCTGACCCAGTGTGGCCGTTCTTAGGGTTATCCAGCCAGTTATGCTCACACCTTACAGTAGCCCCATCTAGGTTGCATTGCCCTAGTTTATTGAAGAGAAGGTCATGTGAGACCAAGTAAAATGCCTTACTACAGTCCAGGTATCCCACGTCCAGCGCTTCTCCCTTAGCCGCAGGACTCGTTACCCTATCAGAGAAAGCTCTCCGATGGGTTTTCCAGGATTTGTTCTGTACAGTCCTGCCGGCTGTTCCCTATCACCTTATTCTCTTCTAGGTGTTTGCAGGCGGATTCCTTAATTCATCAGGCCCAGGTAACTTGCAGACATCGAACTGTTCTCACTGACCTAAGATGAAACCGTTTTAAAAATGGATTGTCATGGAAACGTATTTTTTATTTTGTTTTTATAAATTTGGAATGAAAACAAATTGCAAAAAAAAAAAAAACCCACAGAATTTTCCCAAAAAACAGGTTGATTAGGTTGCCACATATAACTGTTCCGTTAACCTGCGGAACTCACTGTCAGCAGAAACTGCCAAGGCCTAGAGTTTAAGAGGCATCATAGACCAAAATAACCCCCCACCAAAAAAAGAGTTAAACAGAAAAGGATTTAAATGCCTGGCAGTGGATTATCACTCCTGCTTCAGAGCTCGGACTAATTGCCTGCTGAGGGTGATTGGCAACAGGATTTCTCCTGGCCTGTCATGCCAGAGTGATCCAGTAGGGGGTCCCTTGTGCATGCCTCTGAATCATCTTGGCTGGCCAGATACCAGGCTAGATGGGCCCATGGATCTGACCCAGGTAGGCAGCGAGGAAGCAGGATACTCGCATAAATGGGCACTGGAATTTGTAGCCCATGTGAGTCTCAGCTGATTTGTGGTGGTTCGGGAGTAGACCTGCCCCTGCTACCACAGCCCTCCCTTTTCATTTGAGGAGCAAAATCCCATTCCAGGCACAGCCTGGCACACTTTTAGATAGGAGACGAGGAAGCTGCCTAACCAATCGGGTGGTCCTAGCTCTTTGCTGTTTGGGAGGAGTTCTTGAACAAACAGACTCACAGACAGATGGACGGACACACAGAGGGCCAGATGCGCCCACACTTTCGTGTGTATAGTGGAGGAGGAAAAAAAAAAAAACCCCAGAGTGTCCCACAACAAAATTAGAAAAAAATGACAAAAATGTGTTTCTCCCCCAAAATGTTTTGAGAAAGGGATGCCAAAGAATGGAGCTCCTCCCCAAAACGGCTAGAAAGAATGGAGCTCCTCCCCAAAACGGCTAGAAAGAATGGAGCTCCTCCCCAAAACGGCTAGAAAGAATGGAGCTCCTCCCCAAAACGGCTAGAAAGAATGGAGCTCCTCCCCAAAACGGCTAGAAAGAATGGAGCTCCTCCCCAAAACGGCTAGAAAGAATGGAGCTCCTCCCCAAAACGGCTAGAAAGAATGGAGCTCCTCCCCAAAACGGCTAGAAAGAATGGAGCTCCTCCCCAAAACGGCTAGAAAGAATGGAGCTCCTCCCCAAAACGGCTAGAAAGAATGGAGCTCCTCCCCAAAACGGCTAGAAAGAATGGAGCTCCTCCCCAAAACGGCTAGAAAGAATGGAGCTCCTCCCCAAAACGGCTAGAAAGAATGGAGCTCCTCCCCAAAACGGCTAGAAAGAATGGAGCTCCTCCCCAAAACGGCTAGAAAGAATGGAGCTCCTCCCCAAAACGGCTAGAAAGAATGGAGCTCCTCCCCAAAACGGCTAGAAAGAATGGAGCTCCTCCCCAAAACGGCTAGAAAGAATGGAGCTCCTCCCCAAAACGGCTAGAAAGAATGGAGCTCCTCCCCAAAACGGCTAGAAAGAATGGAGCTCCTCCCCAAAACGGCTAGAAAGAATGGAGCTCCTCCCCAAAACGGCTAGAAAGAATGGAGCTCCTCCCCAAAACGGCTAGAAAGAATGGAGCTCCTCCCCAAAACGGCTAGAAAGAATGGAGCTCCTCCCCAAAACGGCTAGAAAGAATGGAGCTCCTCCCCAAAACGGCTAGAAAGAATGGAGCTCCTCCCCAAAACGGCTAGAAAGAATGGAGCTCCTCCCCAAAACGGCTAGAAAGAATGGAGCTCCTCCCCAAAACGGCTAGAAAGAATGGAGCTCCTCCCCAAAACGGCTAGAAAGAATGGAGCTCCTCCCCAAAACGGCTAGAAAGAATGGAGCTCCTCCCCAAAACGGCTAGAAAGAATGGAGCTCCTCCCCAAAACGGCTAGAAAGAATGGAGCTCCTCCCCAAAACGGCTAGAAAGAATGGAGCTCCTCCCCAAAACGGCTAGAAAGAATGGAGCTCCTCCCCAAAACGGCTAGAAAGAATGGAGCTCCTCCCCAAAACGGCTAGAAAGAATGGAGCTCCTCCCCAAAACGGCTAGAAAGAATGGAGCTCCTCCCCAAAACGGCTAGAAAGAATGGAGCTCCTCCCCAAAACGGCTAGAAAGAATGGAGCTCCTCCCCAAAACGGCTAGAAAGAATGGAGCTCCTCCCCAAAACGGCTAGAAAGAATGGAGCTCCTCCCCAAAACGGCTAGAAAGAATGGCTCTCCTCCCCAAAACGGCTAGAAAGAATGGAGCTCCTCCCC